TAGAGATGAAAAAAGACCAGCCGATGTACAAACAGTTAAGGAACAGTGGCAAACTCCATGCTTCAAAATATATTACCATTATTAGCTTAAACTCTTTAAATCATGCGTGGGGCCTTATTTTTAAAGATCTAATTATAATGGATATTTAATAAATATATTTTCGTGAGATAACCATTCTTGTAATCTAGACTCTTTAAATCATGCGTAGGGCCTTATTTTTAAAGATCTAATCACAATGGTTATTATAACGAAGGCTATGGGGTAATGTATAAAAATCCCCGCTCCCACTCAATTTTTTAATTATTGATAATTAGGGTTTTCAATTCATGATTTAATGCAAGCAAAACACCTTGATTTTAATCCAAGTAAATTTAGAAAATATCTGGACTTTTAAATGATTCACTAATATTTAATTTGAGGTACACTTTAAAAATAATTTGCAAAAATAATTTTTCATTTCCTAAAAAGTGCCCTCTAATTAATTAGTAATCAAATCTAATTAATTTTCATAATTTAATTAATATAAATCAAGTCATTTAGATAAAAAATCATGGATCCAATGCATAAATAATAATAATCAGTAATTAATTATTCCATGCATCACAAATAATTAAACAACAGACTAAAGCAAATAAAATGGCCAATGGAATCAGCTTTTAACATTTAAATATTATTCTTGTTGTACGGGCGTCCACCAATGGCTTGTATACATCAATAGGGAGTTGGTACGCACTAAGAGAAGTAAAACAGCCCTTGGAATGCGCCCGGAGGACCCCGCAAGCACTAGCAAGCGCCTAGGGAAGCTGCAGCTCATTCCCATGCGCTGGCACGCGCTAGGGATAGCATTAGGCGCGTGGCACGCGCCTTCACGCGCTGGTGATAGTGACGGGCGCGTGGCATGCACCTTCACGCGCTGCTACGCGCATGGAAGGTTAGTGCTTGGTTTTGCGCGTGCTCCTCTCATGCCAGCAAGCTACTTGTGTCCGACACGTGCTCCTCACGCGTCGGATGTCTGATTTGGTGCACCGCACCGGATTACCTCCCAAGATCCAATGGATATGGATCTGAGCGCACAGTACTATGATGTATCGCGCAGCATCGGATCACAAGCCTTCCTCCGGCGGTTCTCCGGCCGCCGAAAAATAGTTGAAAAATGCAGAAAAATTTGGAAAAATTAAATAAAGCCCTAAAAAAATTCTAGAAAAATCCAATAAAATTCCATAAAATTCCAGGGACCTTATTTAATTCTCTTGAACCTTCTTAAAGCTTCATAGTATTCTTTGATAAAGATTACATGGCTTTAATAAATATTTACAATTTGAAATACAATGGAAAAAATAAAATTACATCATTGAACTTTCAAACGGCTAAATCAAAGCCTTAATTACATTTATCCAAAAATAAAATTACATTCAATAAACCTATAAGCTTCATTTATGGCCCAACCATACATCATCATTCATTCATAATTATACATACATTATCATGTATCAATATATATCAACATAATAAATCATACATCAACATACATCAATAAATATATATATGCATATATAATTTGGATCCATGAATGATGATTTTGATAAAAACATGATCTCTAATAATGAATCAAACTATTCTCTGATACCACTGTTGGGAAACGTGCAAGTTTTAAAAAAAATTTGAGGGATTTTCATACATAGATCTTGATTCATCACATAGAGACAAGTTTTATGCAAAAATAAAACATGATGTATCATTCAATTAATAAAGTGAATACTTACATCAAAGGTCTGAGTAAACCTTTAAATCTTTCATCTAAAGTGAATGTTCTCACTTATTGTAAATCCCTTAGCAAGATCATTTTTCCTTCGTCTTGATGGTAATCTTCCCTTCAGAAATCACCAATATGCCTCGATGAATGACCTTGGAGTCAAGGCTTGTGGTCACCTCCTTTAGAAGAGATAATAAACCCTAAAAACTAGAGAGAGAAAATATATTTCCTTTTCTTCTTCTAAAAGTCCCCCTAAAATATACATGGACCCATGTATATATAGGAAAAATAAAGATAAGAAAAGGAAATAATAAATCCTTCTCCATCTCTAATTCAAATATCTCAATTCTAATTGGATTCCAATATCAACTTGGGCTATGGGTGAGAATCATTTGGGTTTACTATTTTCTTGACTACTATAAATTAATAATTGGTCTGGTTCATTAAACTATAGACCCAATTCAATTAATTCATAAATTAATTTCTACTCCACTAAAATAAATTAATTGCACTCCAATTAAATAGTAAATAACCTCTAAATCAATATTGCACTTTAACCCCTTTGTGTATAATTATTTATCGGATAATAAAGCCATCAATCCGACAACATAATTAATATAATTATTTTGTTACCTTTGATAATTTTCGGGTTGATCATAATAAAATATTTGTTTGACAAAATTAATAATTTACTAAATAAATATATATATATAATATTTTGTCTAAAACATACAAAGGTCTTTGAATTTAATTTGTGATAAACCATAATCAATACAAAATAAATACAAGTAGCACTGATACAAATATTGAGAATATAACCCTCTAACTATTAGTTACATAACTACCCAAAGTGCCGATCTAAGGATCCCGAAGTATCCGCCGAACAAATCAAAGTAATTATTAATTAATAAAAGAGTATATACTTCTCTCATGCTTGAGAGTCAAAAGTCATGACTGTGATAGAGAATAATTGCATACGACGGCTCTTGTAATATATCTTAACCTATCGTGGACTCAGTTCAAGTCTTATTTAATTAAATATTCATCCATAATTACCGACTTTGAACCATTTATAATTACTAATTTATAACTTAGTATTAATTGCTATTACATACATATATAAATTATATCTTGTAATCAAATTGACACAATCAATTTCATAATGAATCGGAAAAATAATACATTCCATTCACCTATTGTATAATGCCTTAATAATAATATTCAGATAAGGAACCATGACTTTTACAATCCGAATAAGAATTTGCTATGCTAGGGCACACATATCCTAACAAAGGTATCTATAGAAAATGTAGAGAGTTGGATAACTTCATAAAGATCAAGAGAAAATGATGATGGGAAGTATATTTAAGAATCTTACGGGATTTAGGCATTATGGTGGCTTAGAAATGGAATTTGACAATTAATAAGTGTGTGTGCGCGCGCATATATCTAGAAGTGACATCAATGGGGGTGACGACTTTGAATAAGAGCAAGTTACTTAGTTGGAAGTAGTGTAGCCCCTTTAAGAATTTATAAGATCCTACTATTGATGCTAAAATCGGCTGGTTAGATTCGATTCTAAATTGACGTAATACGGGTGTGCCAAAACCAATTATATGGTTCAAGTGTAAATCGTCAACTGCAGTCTTTTTGAAAAGATTGACTTTAAAACGATTCGAGGAAAAAGGGAACAATAAAACTCCTCTTTTGAGTTCAAAATTGCCATAATTAAACGGACTTTTACAACGAATAATTTATAATAATAGATTGAGAATAGAAATGGGAGATAATCTGGATATAGAAAGAGATAGAGATAGAAAGTGAGAAATAGAGGGAGAGAATTAGAACAAGATAAAGAGAATGAGATGGATATAGATAAAGAAAAATAGCAAGGATGCTATTTAGGAAAAGAGCTTGAGAAAGAAAACACAATAATAAAATGATTATGAGGGTGCTGGACCTCTATCACAGTATGCCTCTTTGATTATTTATAGAATAAAACGTTAACAAAAACCTATACGTAAGCATTCTAATTATATCAAAACTGTATCAAATAACTAATTACTGTTTTCAAATAATAACCTAATCCTATAGATAAACATAATTATGCAACTAAATAAATAAACTAATCGATATCTATTAGCAATATACTCCCTATCTATTAGCAATATACTTCAGGTTATCCAAACCAACTCTATCTGTTGCACCTTTAAACACAATCTATGCAAAATCAAAATTTTCTTTAACTGCAACATCGCTACTATCCCAATTATAGTCCAAATATATTATCTGATCCATGTTGAATAATAATGTTCTTCAGCCCAGTTTAATTATCACACATCTTCAGCCCAATCTCTTCTTATGGCCCAAATCTCTGCCACGTCACTGTACTTCAAGCCCAATTGTAGTTCAAGCCCAATTACCAAAATGGGTGTCAACAATGCCCCCCAATTTTGGTAGCCGTTTTGGTTTTTCCTGTTGCTTTCTATCTTTGTCGTTGGGTTGCGTTGCCCTGCCGTCTCGCTTTCCCTCTTAGCTGAGGCCGAGTTCATCCTCGCAAATCTCCGACCACCCCTTTTCCTTCCAAGAAATAAAGTGTAGATTACGGTGATTACTTGTAAATTATCACTACAACAGTTATGCTCTTCACCAGCGCTCAAAAACGTTGGTGAATAATTACCAGCGGTTTCCAATGTCGGTAGACTTTTACCAACCTATAAATTATCACTACAACAGTTATACTCTTCACCGGTGCTCAAAAACGCTGGTGAAAGTTAAAAAAAAAAACACTTAATTCAATAATTACCAACAATTTCCAATGTCTGTAGACTTTTACCAACCTATAAATTATCACTACAACAGTTATGGTCTTCATTAGCGCTCAAAAACGCTAGTAAAAAAAAAAAAAAAAAAAAAAAAAGAACATTGATAATTCAATTACTAGCAGTTTCCAGTGTCAATAGACTTTTACCAGCCTATTGCCAACGCTTCGTTGGTAAGAAGCGCTGGTAATAGGCCTTTACCAGTGCTTCTTAAAGAATGCTGGTAAAAGCCTATTACCAACTGTCCTTAAATGAATGCTGGTGACTACCCATAATTTATTTATTTATTTTTTTTTGGTGCTTTTTGTGATTACCCAGATTTATTTATTTATTTTCTTTCCTCTAACCTTTTTATTTATAAATAAAACAAGTACCATTTACAGTAAATAGTACTTTAATAATAACCTTAATTGCCAAAATGAAAATACCATCCAAATGTGTAATAGATTTAGGCAACCAAAAAGAAAAAGAGTTTACATCATGCGGAGTAATAAATAAAACTGCTAAAGAAGTTTTCAGAAAAGTAAATACAACCAAAAGAAGTTTTCACAAAAGTAGTGAACACAACCACATGCAGTAGAAGTTTTCACATTGGCCAAGGAAATTAAAAAAGCACGACCCTTGCATCTTCAAACTTTCTTTTTTCTAGCGCTTTAATAAGTGCAACTTCAACTCCTGCCCAATCAAAAATTTTGCATTCAGCACTCAACAAATTGAAACAGAAACTAAAAAAATATCAGGACTCAACCTGATTCATTCATTAAATGATATGTCTCCATTGCCTTCTGTATCATACCCACTTGTAGATACGCTCCAATGAGCTCAGTATACGCCCTCGTGTCAGGTACTAAACCTTCTTTCTTTAATTCAGAGAAAAGTTGTTCAGCCATTTCAATTAATTTATTCTTTCCCAGCAGCAAGATCATGTCACTGAACACAGATAGATTTGAATCGTACCATACTTCCTTCCTCACAAATTCAAACACCTGAACACTGATTTTATTTTAGAAATGGCATACATAAGCAAATAAAAAAAATAAAAAAAAAAAAGAAGGTGTTCACTGGTACGGTTGTGAGAATGGCAAAACTGCTATGAACATTCAGATAAGTGGTCAGGTTCAACCGTGAAAGAGTTGGAACTGTTCAGTTATTTGTATCTTCACTATAACCTCCACTCATATATAGATTTACTTTTATTGAAACAAGTGCATCTTAAACCATCTCAAAATAAAGCTACTCTTCTTATCTGTAATTAGTACTTGCTTGAAAGCCAAAAATGTATACATATAAGCTATATATTGAGAAAGGTAAGTAAACTAATATCACTACCTCTTTATAGTTTAATGTTTATAAACAATGCAAGCATATTTATAGATGTAATCCCTATTATTAATCCCTGAGAAAACAATGAATGATAACAAGAATGAATAAATTATATACCTTTAGGGCTAAGTCCAATTCATTCTGCCGCCTCAACTCTGTCAAAGTATCCAACAAGTCAGCTTTCAAGAGCCTGCTTACTCTGCTACTCAAAACCTCCTCCAATTTAGCATCCGAGGAGGTTTTGGTTTTGGGAACAAACTCATTTCACAAAGTTGAAATCTAAGAGAACCCATCATAATGCAAAACCACAACTGAAACTCAAGACACCCACACAATCTAGGAATTCCATTTTTGGAGAAGCTCTTCGGTTTGAATGTCAATCAATCAATCAATACAAGTAGGAGCAACTAGATTGTCATTTAAGAATCAGCCTGTTACACCTAAATTCAAGCTGGTTTATCATTGTATCATAAAGTGAATAATAATAGTAATAGTTTTACCTTTTCTATTTTACAAAGTAAAATTCTACTCCTTGAAAAAGAAAAAAAACAGAATTTAAAAAAAAAAACATAAAAATTATATCACTATAACAGATAAAGCAGGGCTTTGATAATAGTCACACACATACCATTGAAGCATCTGAGCAAGTGATAGATGAAGTCAACAAAGATACAAAAGCTTTTAGTAGTATACAAAATTTCAGAACATCTACTAACCTCTTCTCTTCAAAGGAAGCTACACTCTCAAGCCCTACCAAATCTTTTTGCTAACTTCCATGGCAAATATTCTCTGCCAGTCACACTTTTGGATGTTAGTAGATTGAAGGAGAAAAAGGCAACCAACTACACCTAGAATGTTCATCCAGCCTTGTAAGCTTAAAGCTTCTCTCTTTCATGTTGAATATCCATAATCAAATATCCTACCCAAGAATAAAGAGTAGATAAAACTGAATTTGCAAGCAAGGATGGCAAAATTCATATTCAACTCCCAAAGAAAAAGGAAAAGCAATGCGAGTTATAACACTTCCATGTATACGGGTTAGTTATGTTACCTTACCTGATAGTATTAATTTTGGTTATATAGTATTAATCTGAAAAAACTCTTTTTGTAAATACTCATTTATATATTTATGTATATATTTTTTATTATTTTCAGCTGGGTGGACCTAGTTGGAATGTGTTGCTGGGCAGAAGGGACTCAACCACGGCAAGTGCGAGTGCTTCAAACACCAACATCCCTGCACCAAATTTGGATCTCAATGGTCTCATTTCTGCCTTCTCGAAAAAAGGTTTATCTGCCAAGGAAATGGTGGCTCTATCAGGTAATTTAAGTTTTATTTCAAATATTAGTATTGATTAACTCCATTACATTTTAAATAAATGTGACACTATAAGATAAAATTAAAGACCAAATTGATTAATGTTGTTTCTTTTTCTTAAATCTTCTTGTGCAGGAGGTCACACAATAGGCCAAGCTAAGTGCTCAATCTTCAGAACCCGGGTCTACAATGAAACCTACATAAACACTTCATATGCCACATCAAAACTATGACATCATTTGAAACAAGAAATGTTGGATTTCAAAAAAAAAAAAAAACACAAACAGCTACACGAACAATTACAGTAAAAAGCAAGTGAAACGAAACCCCTCTAAATTGAAAACCGTTTACTCTATCATCAAGAAATTAAATAAAAAATAGAACTTGAAAAGTAAATCAAGCACAATCAAAGTGGAACACCCAAACCAAACCTAGAAATCACAAGCAATTAAGATAGAAATTGAATTACCCTGTAGATTTAATAGAGAGAGTACCAAAGAGAGAGAGCATATGAAGATCGCCTACTCCCAACTTCATGGCTGAACTGCTAGAGCAAGGAATAACATACTTGAAATCCATTGGAAGATACAAGAAGTCAAAAGCTGACACAGTCTGTTCTTCAGTTTCTTCATGAGCGTTAAACTTGTTCATCTTTTCATTCTCTGACATACAATGTTGGTCTACGAATTTCAACAACAGTCGACGACTGTAATCAAAGCCCCAAAAATGAAGAAAAAAAAATATTAATCAGAATCAAAACAACATTATATGTCAGAGAATGAAAAGATGAATCAAGAACCTCCTGCCCTTCCCATTCACAAACCCTAACTCGGCCTGCTGCCTACCATCATCACTTCCACCGCATACTTTTCTCTTTCCTCCGACTTTCCTCCAAAATCCACTTCTTCGAAACCTTTTCCTAGTAGGCATCCTCTTCAAAAATTGAAATCCCTAACCTGTTAGTAGGCATCCTATTCAAAAATTGAACTCATCTGCCCAACTCTAACATCAAGATCGCATAGATGAGTCATGTTTTCACCAAATTAAGGGGGAAAAAAAAAAAAAAAAATTAGGAAGAAAAGAATTTGCGAAATAGCAATAGCAAATCAATTGTGTAAACTAAAACAGACCCATCATTCTATGGGGTCTGCTGAATCAAAAAAAGCACGACTAACCCTAGAATTGTGTAAAATGAATGATCAGTGAGAAATAAAAAAACGAAACCACGAAGAAATTAAAATGAAACAGAAAGGTACCTGAGAGAGGCTTCAGCGAGAACGTTTTGGGAGAAAAATCTAGTGAGTAAGATCTCCAAATGACATAAATTAACAACTCTTGGAGATCGAGTAGCTGGTTAGAGATCGAGACAGCCTGAAGAGAAACCTAGGGCTTCAACTTTGTAATCTCGGATGAGATAATGCCGAAAGAGAGACGGGTTAGCAAACATCAATCAAGGGCTTCAGCTGAGAAATGGAGATCGAGCAGTGAGAGATCGAGATAGAGCGGGTTAGCAAACATCAATCAAGGGCGTCAGCTGAGAAATGGAGATCGAGCAGTGAGAGATCGAGACAGAGTACAGGAGTCTTGCAGCTGAGACGGAGATCGAGCAGTGAGAGATCGAGATAGAGCAGAGGGGAGACGGATGAAGGAAAAACTAGGTTGGGGCTATTGCAAAATGAAATGGGAAGTGCAATACAGTGTTAATGGCCCCAAAAAACACGACGTAGTTTAGGCCTCAAATATTCTATAAATATATATCAGCGGAGGGAAAAAGGGGAGCGAAGACCGGCGTTGTTAAAAAGAGTGCTGGTAAAAACCTAATACATTGTAGTGTAATTTTAAAAATTCATACATACAAGTTAGCAGTTGCAGAGATATAGGGGGGCAAGTTTGAGATTTGAGAGACAGTGGTTGAAGCTTGCGAACGGCGAACCCAAACCAGAACAACAGGCGATTGAAACTGAAAGATATAGGTTTTGATTTTTTGAACAATATGAAAAGATATGTCAATATGGGTTTGGAACTTTTAATTCTTGTAGATTTTGTAGTTTGCAGGTGTAGAGAGAGAGAGAGAGAGAGAGGGCAAGTTTAGAGTCGAGAACGAGAATAAAGATGGAGGCGATTGGGGAGGTTGAAATGATTTGCCCTAAAAATATTTTGTAGTTTGTTTTTTATGCGAGACAGAATGCAATGAATAGTTAAGATGGGAAGGTGATTTCGAAATCAACGATAATCAAGAGTCCGAGTTAAAGTAGGATTGAGGAAGCTACAAGTGGGTTGGGCTTGGTTCAATGGAGACTGAGAATTGCTAAAATATAACATTTTGGATGAAATGCACCATTGGAGGAGAATTGCTGAAATATAGTATTTTAATACTATAACTCATGGTCTAATGGGGGCTCCAGGGTTTTTTTTAACATGGTGGGAAGTGGGCCCATCTCAAATATTCCTCACTCTTTCTTCAGATAGTGTGGTTTGCCTTTGGAACCCTTATCACAAGGCTATTACTACAGGAATTGAGCTTACATGAATTGAAAGCATAATATAAATGCAAGGAATGTAAATGACAATGTTTCCTCAAGCATGCACAAGATTATCCCTAAGCATACAAATTATACTAGAAATTCAAAAAGAATGCCTCCATTTGGGCAAAGGAAAAGAGAAAAGGGTAAAAGATGATGTGGGAAAGGATTTCAAAGGATTCTTAACTTGGTGGAATTCCTCTTTGGATGTCCCTTTGGAAGTTTTGTTGGAGGAAATAGCTTTAACACCTTACTTCAAGGGCTTTGATTTTGTTGATGCTAAAATCGACTCCTTAGATTCGATTCGAAATTGATAAGTAAGTCCCAGAACCAATTATATGGTTCAAGTGTAAATTGTCAACTTCAGTCCCTTTGAGAGGGTTGACTTTCAGACGATACGAGGAAAAAAGAGAACAGTAAAACTCCTCTTTGAGTTCAAAAATTGCCTTAATTAAAGAATTTTTATAATGAATAATTTATAGTAATGTTTTGAGAATAGAAAGGGGAGAGAAATAAATATAGAAAGAAATATAGAGAGAAAGATTGAGAGAGAGATAGATAGAGATATAGAAAAAATAGCAAGGATGCTATTTTAGGAAGCAAACAAAATAATATAATGATTCTGAGGGTGCTGGACCTCTATCTCAGCATGCCTCTACAATTATTTATAAAAAAATAGTACGTAAAACAAACTCCTATATGCAAGTATTTTACTTGCATTACAAATCTATCAAAACTAACAATATATTTAAATTAAACTAACTTAAGGATAGCCACTAATACGTAATTGAAACAAATTAAAAGATAAATATTAAAATTGTAATCCCTATCTATCAACTAATTCAAATACTTTTCCCTCATTCGCATGCAATTTGTCTTCCACATAAAGAATACAACCTCACTTTAGTCCAAACTATATCCACGTCATTGGCCCACATTATTGCCGAATGTCCCATTTTTAGCCCAAACTAATTGTCACGTCATCAATACAAAATTTACCAAAAAGGGTGTCAACAATGCCCCCTAATTTTAAATGTTTTATCGGTTGTCAGCCGCCCAAGCCAATAAGATATTTGAAATTTAAAGTACATTGGAAGGAAATTTTGAACAAAGACTGCGCTAGTCACTTGGAATTAGATTACAAATCAACGAGCTCCAAAGCTTTATTTCTTCTGAATCACCTCTAAGATAATCTTTATTTCATATTAGCCAAATCTGCCGATTTAGGCTTCTTCCTAGATTTTCAGATAATTTGCAGATATTGTCAGCCCATAAACCAATGAAGGACTTGCCCCCCATGTATTTTCCAACTCCGCTAGCAAATCATGATCATGATCGGCAAAAATTAAATTATTGTGAAGCGTCATTCTAGCCTACCTGCCTATTAGTTGTACTAGAGGAATGAAATTGTGCCAACAAGTAGTTTTCTTAGCTGATTTCCTTTCAGTTGATTTTGCCTCAGCCGATTTTACATTCAGCTTAATCGGCAGGACTGCATCTTGCCCAAAAGCCCATTGATCGGCAAACATGACCTCACTATAATCGACAAGCTGAAGTAGAGATATGAATCAATTAACTTTTGTTGGGGGTTAGCGATCACATGCCCCCCGGCAGTCGCTGGTAGTGCTGGTGGACCTTGCTGAACTACCTCGGCCTGGATTAGGGCTAAAACTTAAGCCATCATTGCTTTAATCTCCTGATTCTCCTGCTGATAATCGACAAATACTTGATTAAATTCTTCTATTTAGTTGGGATTTTATTTCTCCCATTTGTCGATTTACCACCTGCCGATAATCGGCTGCTCAAATATGTTGATAATCAACTATTGGCGTTTGCCGATAATTGTTTGTTGGAACATGCCGATAATCTACTGTTGGCATCTACCGATAATCGGCTACTGGAACATGCCGAGAATCAACTGTTGGCTTCTGCCGATAATCGACAGCTGAAACATGTCGATGATCGGTTACTCGAACATGCCAATAATCTACTGCTAGAACATACCGATAATTAGCGGCTATTAGCGTCTGCCGATAATCGACTGCTGAAACATGCCGATAATCGGCTGCTGGAACTTGTCGATAATCGATTGTTGGAACTAGCCGATAATCGACTATTGGCATCTGCCGATAATCAGCAACTGGTTGTTGATAATTGTCTAGGTAAGCATATTGCTGATTAGAATACTAGTATATCGGCTGATATGATTGATCAGAATATTCATAAGTTAGTTGAGAAGCCGACTGCATATTTTTACTATTAATTTACTCACCTAGTGGGGTCCCACCGAGCGTGCCAAGAATGTTGACGCTAAAATCGGCTCCTTAGATCCGATTTGGAATTGATGTGATACAGGCGTGCCAGAACCAATTGTATGGTTTGAGTGTAAATAGTCAACTGTAGTCTCTTTGGGAATGTTGACTTTCAGGCAATGCGAGGAGAAAAAGAACAGTAAAACTCCTCTTTTGGGTTTAATATTTCCTTAATTGAAAGGACTTTATAATGAATAATTTATAGTAACAATTGAGAGAATAGGAAGGGGAGAGAAATAGATATAGAAAGAATAGAGAGAGAAAGAGATGTAGAGAGAGAGAGAGAGAGATAGAACGAGATTCTGAGAGAGATAGAGAAATAGATATAGCAAGACCTCTATCTCAGCATTGCTCTATAATTATTTATAGAAAAATAGTACGTAAAACAAACTCCTATATGTAAGCATTTTACTTGCATTACAACTCTATCAAAACTAACAATATATTTAAATTAAACTAACTTAAGGATAACCACTAATACCTAATTGAAACAAATTAAAAGATAAATACTAAAATTATAATCCCTATCTATCAACTAATTCAAATACTTCTCCCTCCTTTGCCTGCAATTTGTCTTCCACGCAAAGAATACAACCTCACTTCAGTCCAAACTATATCCACACCATTGGGCCACATTATTGCTGAATGTCCCATTTTTAACCCAAACTAATTGCCACGTCATCAATACAGAATTTACCAAAAAGGGTGTCAACAGATTTAGGGCAATAGTTTCAAGGAGCCATTTGAGGACATTTCAGAGGTCAATTTGGTATGAGATTAGGAGAGGAGATAGTCCTTGTAATTTACTTTCTTCAATACTTTTATGAATTTAGTAACACTCTCCTCTTCCTATCTCACATTAAAGGGAAAGATACTTTTAGGTTTATTCAATACTTTCTGAATATAGCAAAAGAGAATACTCTCACTCTAAATCATGTATTTTTCAAATTTAATACATTTAAGATTAATATATAGCATGTAGCAACAATAATTATTGTGATTTCTACCTTCTTTCTTTTTTTTTTTTCATCAAGTATTTCTACCTTAATTTCAGCTTCATATATATATATATATATATATATATATATATATGTTCAAATAAGTAACACGTACACACTCGCACACAATTACATGCTCAATAACAATGGTCAATGGTTGTTTTGTGGTTTTAATGTAAACTTTGATCCTATAGTTGCACAAATTAATTTCTTTAAGCATATATCACTTCTTTTTTTTTTTTTTTTTTTTTTTTTTTTGATAATTAAGATGTCCGAGGCTTTGATTTTTTTTTTTTTCCCGATAATTAGAATGTCCAGGGCTTTACCTAAGGACCTGTCCACATGGCATTTTTTCATTTTTCTTTTAGGCAAGTAACACACTATTTTTGGATCTAGTGGAGGTGGTGGTGTTGTTGTGGCGGTGGGTCGAGGTCGGAGGAGGAAATGGGTCACCATGGACGACGACGATTCCAGAGTCACCGTATCTGGCGGCGATTGTCCCTGAAAATCTCAGCATCTCACCTCAGATTCAATTCAAAACTTGATTAAAAGGAATTGCTCCGGTATATTTTCATAAACCCTAAGCTGGCTGAGGTTTTCAGGACAATCGCCACAGTAGATGTTGTTGTTGACCCGACACTTCACCTGTAGACATTAGGGGTGCACAAAAGAACCGTAAAACCGGAACCGGAACCGTGAGAACCGAAACCAAAATTTTGGTTCTCACGGTTCCTGTTCCGGTTCCTAAAATGAGGAACCGTTGAGTTTCGGCTCGGTTCTGGTTCCGATCTCATTGTTCGCTTCTGAACCAGAATCCTAATATATATATTTATTATATATTTGATTATATTTTTTTATTTTTAGGGCAAATCATTTTAGCCGCAACCTTCCCAATC